GCAAGTGGATTGGCAATCTCAGTCTGGCTTTAAAGATGATTTAAGATGGACGCTGCGGCCCATCATTCGCCCTCCCTTAGTCCACTCTTACGACACTCACGGCAAAGGGGTTGCCTATTCTATGCGACACGACCACCTTACCTTACTATAGGTGATATCCAAACGAATGACAAATTTTTTGCGGCAACATCTTGCCCAGGGCCGTCAGACGTACTAAGGCCGGCCCTGGTGACGTCACAGCGGGCGCTCATTGAAATGCGCGTGCGCGTGCGTGTACGCAGTTTCGCCAAATAAGGAGACCGCGTCCGCGTAACATTAACTGCAGTAGTGACGGTGATATTTACAAATTTATTCTATACTAGTCGTTTCCCATGGTTCTCCCCATGTACATCAATATAATCCTATGTGTTCAATGTAACCTACCCGTGTACCAAATGTCTTTCAAATCCGTTCAGACTTTGATGGACTTTGAGTAACAAATATCCATCATTGTTGGTACATCCTTACATACTTTCGTAATTATAATAGTAAAATAGAATAATCAATAAATAATACGAGATAACTTGTAATTTTATATTCGATATTAAAAGAAAAGTATGTCCTACCATTGGGTGGAGTGACGACTTTTTTTTTTAATTTTTTTTTTTGACGTCAAACGCAATCAAGGAGTCAATGCATGCAAGTGGACTCAGGACCGTTCTTTATGGCAGTGTACAGAGAAGGCATATGTTCAGCAGTGGACGAATAATGGCTGAAATGATGATAACGATGATTAAAATAAAGTAAAAAAAAATCTAATATATAAAATTCTCGTGTCACGGTGTCTGTTACTAAACTCCTCCGAAACGGCTTTACCGATTTTTATGAAATCTTGTGTGCATATTGGGTAGGTCTGTCTGAGAATCGGCCAACATCTATTTTTCATACCCCTCAATGATAAGGGTGACCCCCCCAAAAAATTATTTTTTTATTTTTTTTAACAAATTTTATCATTTGTATTTTATTATGATTTAGCATTAAAAATACATACATACATAGCTTAAAATTTTCACCCTTTTACGATCAACCCATGTATTTTAATTGCGATTTTTATATTTTGCAATAAGTAGTAAAACAACGTTTACGGGCTCCGCTAGTATATATATATAAATAAAATAAAATATAAATATTTATAATTTTTATATATATATATATATAAAAATTATATATATATGTATATATATATATATATTTTTTTTTTATTTAAATACGTAATATATATATATATATATATATATATATATATATATATATACGTATTATATATAAATAATATAAAATTTATATATAATACGTAATATATATATATATATATATATATAATTTTTTTTATTTAAATATATATATATATATATATATATATATATATATATATATATATATATATATATATATATATATATATATATATATATTACGTATTTAAATAAAAAAAAATTAAAATATTCTTCGAGGTCAACTAACATGGTCGTATTGGCACTTACGACTTTATTCGATTGGGCGTGCGCTACAATTGTTTTAATTGCTTAGTGCAATACTAAATGGAGAGGATGGATGAAAGAAGAATTACGAAAGAGATTTATCGAGCACGAATGAATGGAGATGTCCGTAGGGGCCGCCCTAGACGGACGTATGTCGACCAAATAGGCGACGTGCTGGAGAAGGGCCAAATTAAAAGTACCCGTAACCGGCGAGCGTGTGTGAAAAGATAGATGAATGTGGAAGAAGCGAAAGAGGTTTGTTTGAATCGAAGCATTTGGCGTTCCATTGTTTCTGCCTACCCTAATGGGAGACAGGCGTGACAGATATGTATGTATGTATGTATGCTTGGTGCAACGACAGTGTTCAAATCGCTGTTCTATGTCACAATATGTACTTCTAGTCATAATAATGAAATGTAAGAAGGTACATGGTCAGGATTTACAGATATGAATGTCTCCATACAAATGCTTTGCTAAAAACAGGCTAACTGTTTTATTCGTGCTGCGTAAATAGGGTTTTTTTAATGGATGATAATGGAATGGTAAGCCCGCCTGCGCTAACGGTATATGCTGGTGGGGCACCAGTGAGGGATGTGAGTGATGGGTGAGGATGAAAAAACAGGTCAGTTAGCCCATCGTGATGACTACGTATAGAATCAGGACACGATGGTTTCCAGGGGGAACCACAGGGAGGTCGACCTGTTAGGGTATGTTGTTAGTTGGGACTGAAAATCCGCATTATTAACAAACCCTTCCCCCCATTATGATTTAGTTAAGGCTATATATACTTGTTGAACTACTCAATGCTTCACAGATCCTGGTACTGGATAAGGAACAGTTCAGGAACTTTATGCGTGGAAAGAAATTCGAGAAAGAGTTGCAAGAGTCGGCCAGTCTTGAGGAAGGACAGCTGAGTAATGACAAACAAACGGATTTGCTTGAGTAATGTATCTAATAATAATAGTAATACAATTATTTATTCTTTACAATACCAGATAAGTACATTTACTATCAACCAATACATATAATAAAATCGGAATCTGGTCGCTGTCTGTACATGGAAGATATATAAGATAAACTATTAAATGTATGAATGAGTATACTTTATTTGCATTATACAATATAGGAAATAAGCATGACAATTTACAAACACAACGATACAATTGTACAAGTACAGTGAGGCGGTCTTATTGCTGAGAGCAATCATTTCAGGACAACCTTAGGGTAATGGACTAATCGTGCTGAATTTCGGATGAATCATCATAGTGGGCTAACTGGCCTGTTTTCATTTTCATCTATCACCCTTCACTGGTGCTCCGCCAGCGTATACCTATAACGCAGGTGGGGTTACCATACCATTTTCACCCATAAAAAAAATATGTCCTGATTACTCGAACGAAATCGCGTGTAAAAGTTAGCTGTCTATAAAAAAAATAAAAACGCCTATAATTTTCCACATAGCAATCATTACCGAATGTAAAACTATGCAGTGATTTTAACTTACTTGAAGGGTCTCCGGAAATTATTGTATCTTTTTTTTTTATTGTAATCGTAAAATGCATTACATTAGTTGATATATATTTTATTTATTTATTTTATTTCTACATTAGAAAAGCAATTTTAATTTAAAAAAAAAATAATCATGATACTGATCTGAAAGTGCCCTTTCAAATGTATTTTATGCAAATTATATTTGTTTAGGCACTAATAGCAGACATGAGTGGACATAGTAAACGCGACCTCTAATATGGACACAAAATACTGTGACGTCCGCGGTACATTTTATCTGTTTTATTTCTATATCCTTGTGTAATACGTTTTTTTTATTAACGGTTGATAATGGAATGGTAACTCCACTTGCGCTATCGGTATACACCGGCGGGGCACCAGTGAAGGATAATAGGTGAGGATGGAGTTGGTAAGTTAGCCCATCGTGACGAATTCAACAAGAATTGTTCACGATGGTTTCCAGGGGGAAGCACGTGGAGGTCGACCTAATAAGGCATAGAAATTAAAATAGGTAGACTTCCAAAAAAAGTCAAATGTTACGTTCGAGACAACACCTCAATTCCGTTATTAAGAAAGTTTCCGAACATATTCTTATTAGCTTTTACCCGTGACTTTGTTCGCGTAACCTTATGCACTTCTCCGTTCCAATTACTAGATGTATGTCAAACTTGATAACGATAATTGGTTAGGCCATAAAGGCACCAATAGATAACAAATGAACAAATTGATATTTATAATGTTATTAACTATTACCCGTACTGGGATTTGTTTACTAAAAATTAACCTATAACCTCTTCCATCCCATATCGTCATAGTCGTAGAATACTGACGGATCTTTATAATATAATCTTCGACAGATCCGTCAGTATTCTACGACTATGACGATATAAAATAGAAGAGAATAAATTCAAATTTAACCTTTCTTTGCATGATTTTTTTTTTATTGGTGAAATAAATCAAGGTGACGTAATTCATGTTCAAAATAAAAAAAAATGGTTTAAAAAATAAATTTCTACAGCTATGGTTTTTTTTTCTGCAATGGACATTAAAAAGGTTTCCAGACACGATCAACTTAAAGTGAACTTGTTCTTTTGTATAATTTTTGGGCATTCAATGTTATGATGGAAATTTCCACCGTTATGCAAAGAAAGGTTAAATTCCAATCTTCTTTATTCAAATAGACTCGTTTACAAGCAATTTTAAAACGTTTTTTTTTTTCAACTACTGCAGGGTTTAGAAGGTTGTTATCTGTTGAGAAGAGTTCGCAAGAAACTCAACAGTTAAATCTCTATTTACATTATGTGTATTAAATGTACTATGTCTAAAACATATGGTTGTAAAAAACCCTTGCACGAACGATCATTCAAATAACGCTGCTTATAATTTTTTTTTTCTTTTTCATTAGTTGCTGTTGCTTTATTAAATTTGTGTGACCATATATAGAGGCCATTACATTGAATTGTCATAGTTTTGTAACAAAATTACAATATATATATTTCCATTATCATTTTATCTAATTAAATTTGTCCGGTAATATAATAATATTATAAAATACCCTGTTCGTTGCGTCCAAACATTAACATATTAAGCATAGATTAAGAATAAAGTTAAGAAGATCACTTCTAAGACGCCATTTTTCTTAAATCTATTTCTAATATTATTATGTCAATTTGATATTACAGCAAAATCTTTATTGTAAAAAACAATATGAGCTAATTTTCTAGTAGACTAAAGTAAATTATCATATTTTCAAATTATGTTGCTCCGTAAATAAGTAATTTCGATAATTATTACGTTATAATATTGAGTTAAGATATAAAGTTTAGAGAAATCGCGCCTCAGAATCGGGCCCAGTAATTCAAGGTGCAGTAAAACTATCTTTGTCAAAAACTACTATGATTAGGCTGTTTGTATTATGCTCTTTGCTTGGTCAAATTTGACAAATTTTAAAACAACAACAACAAGTCCTATAAGAATAAGTCCACGGTCTTTGGTCAATCAAACTATTTTTCTGACGTTGCCGCCATTGATGTCTTCTTACTGTTTTTGTTTGAGTACTTACAATAATTATAGTGCAATATGCCGAAAAACATAACTAGCGAAGTGCGAGATATAATTTTAAGAGTGAAAGAGTTTATGGATGAAGAGAAACGTATGCAAGTGCCAATAATACCGCTTAGTAAAGTTTATGTGCGAGTGTCCGCTGCCACAGGTATGTGTCGCAACAAATTAATTTATCGTCAATTTGCTCCTTACAAATATTTAATTAACGTCTGTATAAATTGTACAAAAAAATCCTGATCTTTAAAATTGTTCTACAATATTAAAAATTAATTAATATTACTTCAGATACTTCAATTTGTAGGATAATAAGAAAAAAAAACAATTCTCCAGAATATGCCTCTACATTTTATAATTACGGTGATACCACCAAAATGTGGGGGGTAAATTTATGGTAGGTTTACTTTTCAGGCCTTACCTAGTCAGAACAAATTTATTCATATTAAATAATATGTTTTCCAATTTATGTACAATTCCTATTGTCTATAACAATGATTAATTTTTATAATTTTTGTAAAATAAGGATAGCAGTCAAGCAGATGGTTTGCCTGAAGGTGAGCCATAAAGCTATATAAATAATATATTTTGATAAGCGGCTTGTTTATGAATAAGAACTTTCAATATAACAAAAATGACAATCATCATTATTATCTCAAACATTATCCATACACTGCTGAATATAGGCCCCCCATAGATTATCATAAAGAACAGTCCTGACTACTCTAATTTTTTTTTATGGATAATGGAATGGTTACCTTGCCTGCGCTATTGGTACATGCTGACAGTGAGGGATGATAGATGAGCATGAAAGCAGGTCCATTAGCCCATCATGATGATGCGACAAGTATTAATCATAATGGTTTCCAGGGGAAACCGCATGAAGGTCAACCTGACAGGGCTTGTTAGCAATGGAATCATTAATCCCCATTAATTACTAACAACCCCTTTTCCCTCTGACTACTCTATATTTTTTTGATGGATGAAAATGGAATGGTAACCCCACCTGCGCTAACGAGTTACGCTGGTGGGGCACCAGTGAAGGGTGATCGATGAGAATGAAAACAGACTAGTTAGCCTATCATGATGAATTCATCAGGAATGAACTATGATAATTTCCAGGGGGAACCGTATGCAGGTTGAGGTATATTGCTAGCAATGGAATTCTTAGTCTCCATTACTAACAATCCCTTCCCCCCTAACTACTCTATATTTGTCCATATAAGGCTGCAACTAGAGAATACAATCCCGGGATCCCGAACGACAAAGGCAACAGATCCTTACATACGCAGCTATAATAATTATATATAAATTTATATATATTCTTTATTGCACTTGTAAGTTACATATAAAATAATCTATTTATAAATATTGTGAGCAAGGGTGCACTTATCTCTGACAGAGATCTCTTCCAGTCAACCCAGTACAGTAAGAAAGCATTTTGTTAGCGGGCAGCTGAAGTGCTACAACTATTAATATATAAACCAATATACAGTTAAATAACATATTAAAATTTATAATAAAATATTACATAAATACATACATATAATACCTACCTACTTATATAATAAATGTTAAAATAAATGAATGTACTACTTACATTAGAAATTTCGTTTAATGATTTTAAGATTTAACAGTTCAATTAGAAAAATACAAAAAAAATATTACTCAATGGAAAAAAATGTGATTTATAAATTATTGTATAAATTAAAACAAATAATTAAAACTAAAAGATTTTGGTAGAAGTTTGATGACATAAATTTATTTTGTTTTGCATTTGTGGTCATTCATAAATTATTTGTTTTAATTTATACAATAAATTTATATAATAATTATTATAGCTGCATATATAACAGCCCATTGTCTTTGTCAGTCGCAATTCTGGAATTGTATTCTCTACTCATCACTCAAAAACTTCTTTCCCATTGGTTGTTGGTTCTTCGAGCTAGGTGGCCAGCCCATTGTCACTTCAGCTGTCCTTCCGCCAATGTCGGTAACTTTTGTTACATTAGGTATCCAGTACTGTCATATTACACTGTATGTGCTCCAGCGTAAAATGGGCCATCTCTTCCTATCCCTATATATATCTATCTATCCTATTTAAGAGCTGCACTCTTGTCGGTGGAGCTCTTGCCACTCACTACGATTTTCAGCAAGTCTCTTCACCTCTTGATACGACACAACACCAACTCCTTCCTTGATCTGCCTGATGTAACTATGTCTAAGTCTCCCTTTTCTAAATATATATATATATATATATATATATATATATATATAAGTATAATAAATAATATATCCTATAATAGGATAAATGTATTTAGTTAATGATTAACCAATATAACTTGAAGTAAATAAACTAGTGTAGACTAACATAGGACACAGATAATAACTAATTGTTCATGTTAATATAATATAATACACTACATAGGGGGAAGAGATTGTCAGGTCGACCTCCACGTGGTTCCCCCTGAAAACCGTCGTGCTGAATTCGAGATGTATTCATCACGATAGGCTAACTGACATGCTTTTTCATTCTCACTTTTCATCGCTCACTGGTACCCTGCCAGCGTATACCGTTAGTGCAGGGGGTGATACTATTCCATTACCATTCATTAAAAAAAAATACATTACATACATATATTCTACAATTAGCATAATTATATTCTGTTTGATATTTCCACCATAGTCAGTTCTCTTGCATAGATATTTTGTTCCATTGTAAACAGTGCAACATTATTTCAGACTTAACTGTTCACTGCTGAACATAAGCCTTCCCCATAAGGAGTTTTGCTAGTAGTTGCCACTTTTGGCAAACAGGTTGGCAACCGCAGTTGCTGAAGAATTAGTCGGAATTAAATAAAAAAAATATTATTAATAAATGAGTAACTAGTTCCTATTGACACAAATTTATATTTATAAAATCAATTTTTGTTGAAAAAAGCAACAGTTGAATTTGTTGCCCATTTTTTTTTACTGAAATTGCATTCCGAATAGACATTATAAAAAAATGACTATTCAGAGATGTAATTGTTATTGAAAGGGTATGACATTTTGCAAATGACATGAATCATCAGAGGGAGACTGTACAAAAATCGTTTGCTTGGACACCTCTGTCACATTCGTGTTTCTACCGTGAAGCAGTTGTGTTTGCATGACTGTGTTTCGGTTTGAAGGGTGGGATGTGGCGTGAATTTACCAGGTACGGAGGAATAACACCTGAGTCCTCAGGAATGACAACGCATGGGGGGTGTCATGGGCGAAACAGTATACTCTATTATGTCCATGGTACTGCTCATATCTATAAGCGACGGTTACCACTTTTCATCAACAGTGGACCGTCAGCTTGTTTGCCATTCTAAGTTTTATAAAAAAAAAAGGAATAACGTTAGTGAGAGTAGAAAACTAAGTATTTTTCTGTGCCATCTTATTCCATAAGAGTGAAGCTCCAATCTCCAAACAACACCTTATAATGTCTGAAATAAACCAATTTTTGTATTGAAAGTTCATATTTCTTATAGTTATTATAATTGTTACAGGTGTCTCCGAACGGACTGTATTAAATATAGTCAAAGAAGCAAGACTCGTGGAACAGGGTCTTATTGATCCTGAAACATTAAAAAAGACACCCAAGAAAAGAGTTAGAACAAAAGGTAAAATCGAAGTAGACGAATATGATTTACAAGTTATTAGAAGGAAAATACACGAATTCTACGCATTCAAAAAAGAAGTGCCTACAATCAATAAATTATTAGAAATATTAAAAGAGGAAATAAACTTCAAAGGCTCCCGGGAGACGTTGAGGAAGATTTTAAGAAAGAACGGCTTCCAATTCAGAAAAACTAAGAACAATAAGGAGAAGGAACCGGCGCCAGAGGCGACGTCGTCTGTGCCTCCCATGGTCGCGCCATACATCCATTCAATGTTCAGCCATAAAAATATACAGTAGTAAACCATGGGTTTCCAAGGAGTTGTTACATTGTCATGCACATATAGAGGTTAAAAAAATACATTTTTTTTTTATTGATATTATAAATGAGAAAGTGATTAGTGATTTATAAATTATCCACCCAGTGTGATACAGAAATAGCGTTCCCTCTTACCAGAGGGAGACTTTGTACAAAAGTCGATTGCTTGGGTACCTCTGTCCCATTCGTGTTTCAACCGTGAAGCAGTTGTGTTTGCATGGCTGTGTTTCGGTTTGAAGGGTGGGATATGGCGTGAATTTACAGGGTACAGAGGAATAACACCTGAGTCCTCAGCAATGGCAACGCATGGGGGCTATCATGGGCGAAACAGTATACTCTGTCTATTATGAACGTTTGTCCTAAACAAATATGTAAGAAAACAAGATACAACTGTGAATCTTCCATTCTAACATGGAGTTATTTAAATGTAGGGATGGAAGGGTTTTATTTTTTTATTTTTCGACTATTCAGTTAAATCGTTTTGTTGTTTTTATCTTATATTTATGGTTTTGAAAACACTCAAATATACTATATGTACAACTATGTGACGACCCCTTATATTCTAGATTGTCTAGTGATATTAAAATTTATATCCTCGTTATTGTATAACCCTCAGTTTCATATCTTAATTCGATGATCTGTTTTCTTTTTTCTGCGTGCTATTAAAAGACTGGTTTCATATTGTTACCTGCCAATATTTTTTGTCAATTGAAAAGAAAAAATGCAATGGTAACTACTCAGTGGAATTATTAATATAAGTTTAAATTTATATTAGTTTTGTCTATATTTGTAAATTAAACCCAGTTTTATAATTAAACAATTATATGGTATTTTCTTAAATAGTTCAATTATTGCTACAATTTTTTTATGGTCAAAATCATGTCTACATTCGTGAAAACTTTGTGATGAAATTTCATATAGATAGCTCAACATTATTATTTTTAAAGTATCCAATATTTATCAATTTTATATTAAAATTTATTAAGTGTTCAGATTATTGACAGTCATGCACAGCATGCACTAGTGTTTTTTTTTTTATTATTCATATTTGAAAATAGGTTCCATTTTCAAATATGTATAAAAAATATTAAACTGGTTTCGTATTGTTACCTGCCAGCATTTTTTATTTATCGATTTAAAAATGAATGAAATGGAAATTACAGTGGGGTTATTAATTTAAGGTTTTATTTAATATTAATTTGGTCTATATTTGAAAATTGTTCAGTTTTACAATTAAACTGCTCCTGTGTATTTTTTTTTTTATATTGCAATATTCTTTTTTTTTTTTTATTATGAAAATATTTTATGAACGCTCGTGAAAAATATGTAATTGTTAATTGAATAACCATTAATTATATAGCATTCAGAATTTAAATTCGTTAGATGTTCATATTATTGTAAACAGTCATGCACTAATGTTTTTTTTTTTTTTTTTTATATACATGTATAAAAATGGAACCTAGTCAGGGGAAACTTAAAAAAAAAAGATATGCAATATTTCTAAACTCAAAAATTAATACTGAATTAATTTTTTAAATACTAAGTTATTGAATTAACAAATTGACGACATTGTGCTAAGCTCACGATTAATGTGGAAAATAAATATCTGCTATAAATTAGTGTACAGATAGAGATCTCTTAGGTATAAATATAAACTAGTGTAAATTATCATAAAAGTTTAGTATTAAGTCAAGTTCCTTTATTTTAATCATGATGTTTAAGTATGTTTTACAAGTTACGCCTCATGTGTCTTTGAATATTGTAAATACCATAATTTGTCACTTTCATGTTGAAATTTTTTACTTGTGAACATGAAACGCCATCTTGAAAACATGTGTAAGTTTTGTAAGTTGTTTGACGTTTTTATCAATATATTTGGCATAATGGAAAGCGAAAATGTATACTAAATTTAAAAAAAAAAACAATGGTAATTTTATATAAGGAACACAGTTGCAATGTGGATCTTATTGTAGGTCTGTTAATACAATCCAGTCTACATATGATCAATTTTATATGAAAAGTAAAGTAATAAACGTCGCCTACCTACCGACGTTCAAAGTTGTATAGTTGTTTTGACTTCGCAAGAACAATGGCTGGGTTTAAAGCTATTTATGTACGTGCTCGTCGACCATACACATCTAGATGGAGTGTGAAATGTAAAAACGCGCCGAAAAAACGATCAGCAACGTGTTGGTCCGACACTTATTTTTTTAAACAGAAATCTCGTTTATTTCCAACATTGCCAGCAGTAGGGAACTGTATTTATTTTTATTCGAGCTGGTTTGGCGGACCTTTCCAACTCGTATGCAAAGACAATTTATATCTAAATTTTATACATTTAAGACCGGTGTTGATGGGTGAAAATGGTATGGTAACCCCGCCTGCGCTAACGGGATACGCTGACGGGGCACCAGTGAAGGGTGATAGATGAGAATGAAAACAGGCCAGTTAGCCCATCATGATGATTTCATCAGGAATTAACCATGATAGTTTCCAGGGGGAACCGCGAGGAGGTCGACCGGGTTGGGTATATTTTTATCCCGTTAGCGCAGGTGGGGTTAGTAACCCTATTATACCATTTTCACCCATCAAAAAAAGATCCTATACGATCTAACGTTTTTAACTCAGTTTGAAAACTTGTACATCATGTTTTTTTTTTTATAATTTAGAAATAATTATGTAAATATTGATAGTTTTAAAAATCGTTTTTCTTTCATGTGGAGAGTGTATTTTAAATATTTATACTAAGACAACACTCGATTATGGGGTATTCTATATTTATATTTTTTTAGTTGTAAAAGCAGTATGTGAACTGAAATTTAAACATCAAAAGATGTATAATGCAATCAAATTGGCCTGCACAATATTTATATAATGTTGTCTCTTTCCAAAAAAATAAATGAAAGAAAGAGATAGGTATTGTTGGCGGACTGTTAGTAGTTATAGATAGTAGTATAAATTGCAATAAAACTTCATTTATATCTGGTATTTTATTTTCATTTATTATACTTAACAATGTATGATAACACGAATCGACTAACGCTAACATTTTGATTGATTGTGGAAAAGCTAGGCTGCCTGCTTTACAAATAACATAACTCTTTACCATTTTTATTTCTAAAGTATTTCACCGTACTGGAGCCTTGGTTTAAATTAGGCCTAACAATTTTTTTAGTGTATTGTTTATTTTAAACATCACTTTTCAAAACTAAAGTCAGGTTTACAATATCAGTCGTCGATTTGCTTGAGACACGTCCACACTGAGCCAGTATTACAGTAGTACCGTCCAAAATAAACCCCTTCAATCAAATCTTCCATAAATCGATTTTAGCACTTGAACTATTTTGTCTTTTTTTATTCTTAATTTAAAATTTAAATGGCAAAACGCACTAATAGTCGAAAAAGGTTTAATTTTTATAAATAAAGGGGTAATTTTATATCAGTACAGCCGTGTCGTAAGTTTAGAAATATTATTAAAATATAATAGTTTATTATAATTATTTGATAAAAAAAATGCAAAGCGAGCGGAGTTTGAAGGAGCGAATTCAATTTACATCATCAAATTTTTTCTAGAATATGATATTTTAATTTTTAATAATATTTCTATAACAATTTTCAATTAGTTCCATTTGTAATAAATAAAAGAAATATGGCCGTCGCAACAACAGTTGAAATACTTGATTCAAACAACATTATTGGACGAGACAGACTTACATCTTAACTATGCCAATAGTTTGCTATTATTGCTTAAAATCTCACTGTTTACTTGATTTTTAAGCGATTTCAAATCATATTCGCCACGATAATGGCTCGCTAAACACCCATGTGGTGGTCGTCATTGGAACAAACTCCAATAATTCGCCGTTCCGCCTCTGGAATATATACCAATGTGGACATAGGCTTATTTAAATGTAGGGTGGGCCGTACACACCCCGGAATTGACTAGTGCCTATCGGATAATCCGAGAAGACTTCTAAATATGCATAGACACGTTTATGCGAGAACATAATGCACCTTTTAAGGGGCCCCCGCTCTCCATGTAAAATTATCATAAATACTCCAATGAATATGGGTTCGTTTAACAAAATACTACGGGTCCTGGATTTGAGGATCAGAGAACTGGAATGGACTGCAAGTGTGGTGAGTATTTATAATTTCCATCTCAAGGTATAAATAAATTTCATAAAATTTCCCGCTCATTCTTCTTCCTTTTATTCTAAATCTATTAATTACTAATTTAATTAAAATCGTGTTTTCGTGATAACTTCAACAATAAAACAAACTACAATTAGATATACAGTGAAAGCTCTCTATAAGCAACAGTCTTTATTTATTCTACTCAGCTTAATAAAAGAAATGAGTAGAAATATTTTCCAGACGGTAAGTATTTTTATACTCCTTTTTTCCCCTATAAGCAACTTTTCCCAATAAGATTTTTTTTTATTGAATTTGGTTCAAATCATTTGCTTATATACAGCGTGCACTGTATTTGATAACAAATTAACAGCTGCACCCTGGGGGGGGGGGGGGGGGGGGAAGGATTGTTAGTAATGGGGTCTAACTGACCCATTGCTAGCAATACACCCTATTAGGTCGACCTCCACGTGGTTCCCCTGGCAACCATCGTGGTTAATTCTAGTGGAAATAGTTACGATGAGCTAACTGACCTGCTTTCATCGTCACCTACCATCCCTCACTGATGTCCCGCCAGCGTATACCGATAGCGCAGGCGGGGTTACCATTCCATTATCGCCCATTAAAAAACAGCTGCACCCTACAGCATAGCACAGAACAGCAGCAAATCAGATAAATAAATCAGTATTTTTTACGTGAATGAATAAAAAAACATGTATCCATGGTTATAAACCATTGCATTTATTACATTAATAATACTATTTTCCGGAGGAATGGGAAGGGGGAGGAGGGCAAAGCCATAAAAAGGAGCATATGTACTCTCAGACATATGAAAACTTCGTTCATACCCTAGGATGGGCACCAGATAAATCTGAAATGGGCACGGACCATCCTATGTTCAATTAATAACACCTATGGGTACATTCCGTAATAAAAAGACGCTATTATGACATAGAGACTATGAAAACTAATATATATATATATATATATATATATATATATATATATATATATATATATATATATATATATATATATATATATAATAAGATACTACAGAAGAGAATTTAAACAAGTCCCTTGGTCGTCTACAGACATGAATATTATAGACGTCACAGTATAATGCTGTGTCGCCCGTAGTATCACTCATGAATCAAGATGCCAAAACAAATGGCAATGTCTGAGATTTACTTGGTTGATTGCATGAATTCTTAATTTAAAATCGAATACGCAATCGTGCTAAATATCTGCGACTATGTGCATTTAGTGGGTGCCTTTAGCCTGCCAAACGTGGCAACAACTGGCAAAACTCCCCTTATGTCCAGCAGTGGACAGTTAACGGCTGAAATAATAATGTGTATGTAGTATAAATAGCAAATTATGCCTCCAGTCGATACAATATGGTGACAAACTTACTTGAACAGTTTTTCTTTATATTACGGGCACTACATACAGTTATAGTAAAGCAAGTTTATTAAGTACATTTCGAGACATTGCGATCGGATGTAAGGCTTCAATTTTTTTTAAACCTATCTCTAGCATTGGAATTACAATTCGATATCACAGCGAATGCTACATTCTAAAAACGAATTTGAACCTAATTTCTAAGAAATTTAAGCCAAAATTATTATAAACTTATATTATCACAGGTCTCCAAACTAGAACCGAGGGGTAAGGGATTGTTTTTTTTTTATGGATGATAATGGAATGGTAACCCCGCCTGCGTTAACGGTATACACTGGCGGGGCACCAGTGAGGGGTGATACGTGAGAATGAAGAGGCAGGCCAGTTAGCCCATCGTGATGAATACACTTGGAATTCAGCACGATGGTTTCCAGGTGGGACCACGGGGGGTCGACCTGTTAGGGTATATTGTTAGCAATGGAAGTAGTAATCCGCATTACTAACAATCCCTTCCCCCCTGGTAAGGGATTTTTAGTAAAGGGTTCTTACAGGCCTATTGCTAGTAATACCCTATCAGGTCGCCATCCACGCGATTCCCCCAGGAAACCATCGTGGTGAAATCTTGTCGCCTTCTTCACGATGGACCAACTGACCTGTCTTCATCCTCATACCATGATGATCATCTATTAAAACTTTTTTTGCCCTTGGAACATACTGGAAAAGTCAATATGGCTCTAGGGATTCAAAGTTTGGAAACCCCTGATGTATATAATAGTAAATTCGAGAAATTATCAAATTGAATTTTTATGTTGGGAGATAGATTTAGAAAAATAACGCCGCAAAATCGACCCCAATGTATTGTTAATAGTAACATAGACATAGACAGTAAGTGCTTTATATTATTCCCAAATTCGTGTATAATATAGTATATATCATATATGTGTGTAAGTATATTTGTTATTCATATATATTTATTCGTTAATATATGTAATTTTAGTATGTATGTATGTCAATAATTAGTAGTACCGCATTCGAGTATTCTGACACTTCCCTATGGTTGACTGGGAGAGAATGCTTTTAGCATTAAGTCCGCCATGTACACATATTTGTACTAATGAATAAATAAATAAATAACATAGATCTTACACACATAGATAGAGCGTCCAGTGCCAGAAAAGGTCTTAAAAAAGACATCTTTTGGCTGACAAGTCATAAATTAATTACTAAATTGTATTGCTATGGCACACTCACAAACGAAAATTGTATTTAGCTTTGTGTATTTTTTTTTATCATTTATGTTATCTCGCCTTTTTTTCTTGTATATGTATGTTGTAATTTGTGTGCTGTAAGTAGGTAATGCAAATAAATTATCTATCTATCTATCTATCTAATTTAAAAAGTGTACCATAAAAAAAATTTAGCTGTTTTTAGTGAGGCATTTATTAGACACTATATCTAAATGTTTTTGATGAAAGTGCAACATTTCAAAACAAAGCCAAAGAATGTTATGAAAAATATGAAATTTATACGAATACAACACTGAACGTAATTATAACAATAATGATTTCATTTCGCACAATGTCTTGAAATATTTTACACGTTTGCAAATGATAGAAAAATATTTTCTAAATCTTTTTTTTTTTAAATTGACACTCTTTATCAATTTAATTACATTTTATATATTAATTTAATTATTATTAAATTACGTATAATCACCGTAGGTGGAAAAGTAAATGATTCAATTTTGTAATTTCGAATAAATCGCAATTTACTACTTTTTTCTGAGTTTATTTATACTAAATAAAAACTGCCAGAGATTTTTTACGCAAGATCTTTTTTTTTTTTAAGATCAACAGTAATATTATCTAAGAATTTAGTACAATAAAAAAAACAGTGACACTCCGGGAGTGCTGATAGAAGTGAAAACTGAAACAATTACGTGTGTATTTTTTTAATCATCAAAAGTACCATCGGTTATGGCAAAAGTACCGTGAGTTCAATGGTTTTTTCCCCATTTCAAAAAATGCCAACATACATTTTTTTATACCACTGAGGTGGCACACAAGCATATGGCCCACCTGATGGTAAATGGTTACCGTAGCCTATGAACACCTGCAATACCAGAGGCATTACGCGCGCGTTGCCGACCCTGATGAAACCTCTTTACCCCCCTTTTGAAGAACCCCATGCTGTAGTCTCTTGGGAAAACCTCGGCAGGGAGCTCATTCCATAACCAGAGTGTTCGTGAGAGGAAACATCTCTAAAACCGCGCAGTACGCGACGCAGTACATGTGTATTTATGTACGTACATACACATATATGTACATACTTATATACAGAGGTGTCGGTTACGGTAACAGTGTCACCACTTTAATACTTTCTTCTCATCTCAAAAAATGACCAACGCGTTTAACAACGTTTTCACTTCAAAAACAATATAAAAAAAAAACAAACTACAAACTAGAAATTGCAAATATTGTATTATTAAATTCTCCATCTACGCCGCGCGGATTATATATCTATTCATTAAATATGCATTACTCTATACATGCTATTAATCTATCCGTACCACTCTATTACATGTAATGATTTTAAAAAATTACAATTATATAGTGTAGGTGCAGAGTTATCCACTTCATCCAAACTTGTGTGTATACATAAATACTTGACAGGGGGGAAAAGGGATTGTTAATAATGGAGACTAAGAATCCAATTGCTAGCAATATACCCAGCCAGTTCTACCTCCTCGCGGTTCTCCCTGGAAACTATCATGGTTAATTCCTGATGAATTCATCATGATGGGCTAACTGGCCTGTTTTCATTCTCATCTATCACCCTTCACTGGTGCTCCGCCAGCGTAACCTGTTAGCGCAGGCGGGGTTACCATACCATTTTCACCCATCAAAAAAAAAATACTTGACAGTAAGGGGTCGTTTCTGAGACGCCATTACTTATCTCTAAAATTTGATATTATAGCGAAATATTTATTCTAAAGAACAATAGGTACTAAATTTTTAATAGAATTCAGTTAAAATTAGTATAAATTTAGTTTTAATGTCGTCCATAAAACAATACTTTTACGCAACTGTCAAATTAAAACACCAAATGGAGAGAATAGACATGAGCTGTATGGGCAGAGTCCTTTGCCTTTCCCTTTAGGATAAACGGAACGAAAAAAAAAAAGGGTTAAGAGATAGTTTTAGAGAAATGGCAACCCAGAATCGACTCCGAAATCGATATAAACATATTAATGTCTTTTAAAAACAACTAGGATGCCTAAAAACTTTAAATCTGTAAACAAACAAACAATGAGTCAGTTTGAACCGGAGTTCAATTGACTCATTTAACGTTTCGATGTTCCATGAAAAACACATTTAATTGTAATTATTTATTAATTAATATTTAGATATTATTTATTTTAATAGTGACATTAATTAAATATTTCAAAATAGCTCAGCGTTCAGACAATGTACTGTTAAATTATAGATTCTAATCGGACAGAATTTAACGTTTATAAAACCTAAGAAATTACGGAGAAGCCAAAAAAGGTCCGTTTGAATCGTATCGTTTGGCATTATATTGTTTCTGCCTACCCCAATGGGAGACTGGTGTGATTGTTACGTAAAGTCAAATGACAAACTGAGTATACATATAAAAGGCAATTTTGCAAATTGAAACAAATTAGGGGGGAAAGGGATTGTTAGTAATGGAGACTGATAATCCCATTGCTAACAATATACCCAACCAGGTCAACCTCCTCGCGGTTCTCCCTGGAAACTACCATAGTTAATTCCCGATGAATTCATCACGATGGGCTAACTGACCTGTTTTCATTCTCATCTATCACCCTTCACTGGTGCTCCGCCAGCGTATCCCGTTAGCGCAGGCGGGATTACCATACCATTTTCACCCATCAAAAAAGAAAAAACTGACGGAGTTATAAGGTGACAAATTTAAAAAAAAAATACAATCGTATCGAAAACCTACTTTTTTAATTTGATTGATGAAATTCCCGAAAAAAAAAATAACATATCAACGACACTATATGTGTACATATTTTGTATTATGTAGTGTCATTGAGAAGATATAAATAGTTTCTTTTTTACGTATTTTTTTTTAATATTTTTGTAATATAACGTAACAATTTTTTGTAAGTAACAAAAGAAAAATCTTGAATATCAATACCAAATTTGAGGAATGGGTTACGTTAGTAACATACTGTATATACTATTGTATTACACGACCAAAACAAAAGGAGACTTAACAAATTTAAATTGTGAAAATCAATTCAGAATTGTGAACGTTCTTTTCAAAAGTTGGCTAAAAAATCTTGTAGGCAATTTAATATAATTTCTATTCAATAAACTAACAGACAATTCCGTCGCTTCGTAACAGCAATGACGATATTGTCATGGCATCAACTATCACCTAGCTAGCTTTAATATACATATATACTTCGCTTGACTAATAATATAAACTCTATAGTACAATTTACACCGGACGACGAGCTTAGAAGCGCATTTAACACTGTAGTAAATAAATTAAAAGTGTCTTCAAAGTAAAATAAGTTGCTTAACACTTACACAGCGGGGGGAAAGGGATTGTTAGTAATGGGATCTAGAAGTTCCATTGCTAGCAACATACCCTATCAGGTCGACCTCCACGCGGTTCCCCCTGAAAACCATCATGGTTAATTCTCACGGAATTCTTCATGATGGGCTAACTGACCTGGTTTCACCTTCACCTATCATCTCTCACTAGTGCCCCGCCAGCGTATACCGATAGCGCAGGTGGGGTTACCATACCATTTTCATCCATTGAAAAAAAAAAAAACACACAACACAACTGCATGTCAACAAGTTAGATATTTATTGGTTATTCATACTTAAATAGTAAATAAATATCTAATTTGTATGTTTGATGCAAATATAGACATTAGATTACAGTGAAGACTTATACATTTCCTTGACAAAACAGATTCTTTTTTTTTTTGCAAAACGTGCTTGGACTGAATACCGGTCGGAGATTGACGGTTAATACGTAAGGTTGTAGAACTTATGATAATAATAATAGTAGTCAATCCTCGATTGTTGGCAGTCGCACGCATACTAATTGGTAGAGAAATTAAACAAAATAATTTTAATCAACAAGTATTTTTTTTAACACATCAAAAATTAGCTCCGACGCGCAGCGTTCGGTGTAAATCGTAGTTAACACTCAAAGCTTATCAATAAACTTGCTATATATCATAAAGCTTAATAAATAGTTAAAATAATAAAATAAAATTATATAACACTTTCATTTCAATAATTATTAAACATACGCATCTTACGTTAAGGGAAGCATGGAATGTGCCATCGTTACCAATGTCTAAATTATTTTTTTTGCTTCACACTTGATTTTCTCTTTAATTAGACATGCAGCGCTTAATTCCATGTGTTAATACGTCAAATCTCCTTCCCTGTATATTGCCACAGCTCTCCTAAAAAAATATATACATATATATATATATATGTTATTATCTCGAGTTGCACAAAGTGACTAAAATATACTTCAAACATTATAAGAATTGTAATTAACTATATTTTTTTTTTAAATAATTAAAATATTTTTAGATATATAGGTAGTAGGAGGTAGTAGGATTTAACAGAGGTTTGGAAGCTATTTTTTTCTTTATACAACTTAGAATGGCAAACAAGCTGACGGCCCACCTGATGGAAAGTGGTAACCGTCGCATATAGACATGAGCAGTACCATGGACATAACTGCTTCACGATTGAAACACGAATGGGACAGAGGTATCCAAGCAATCGACTTTTGTACAAAGTCTCCCTCTGGTGAGCGCACCTAATAGAAGCAAGTAGTTTAATTTATGATGGCCTATAACATAGTAATTTCATGAAAATATCAAATTAAAACATCAGATAAAGAGAGAGGTTTAGAGAAACTGCGCATTAGAATCGTGAATTTACTGGGTACAGAGGAATAACACCTGAGTTCTCAGGAATGGCAACGCATGGGCGGGTATCATGGGCGAAACAGTATACTCTGTTATGTCCATGGTACTGCTCATGTCTATAGGCGACAGTTACCACTTTCCATCAGGTGGACCGTCAGCTTGTTTGCCATTCTAAGTTGTATAAAAAAAAGCCTATTGAATATCATACAAAGGTATGCAGGTAGCTCTAAAGGGGAAGGCTTCTTTTAAGAAATAGTCGATTAGAAACTGATAATAATACTCACACTATACGATACTTTAATTAAAACAAGACTTGTGCTCAACGACGGGTGTGAATATGTTTAACACAACTCATCTTGGTCATCCGCCTTCTTTTCTTGATACGTAACAGTCTCGTATGGGGATTCCTCGTCTTCTTGATGTTTCTAGAAAAAAATAAATTCATTTATAGTACAAAAAAGGTACCTATACAGAAATTTTTTGTAATGTATAATATAAATGGAATGATAGCCCCACCTGCGCTGTCGGTATACGCTGGCGAGGCACCAGGGAAAGATGATAGGTGAGAATGAAAAGAGGTCAGTTAGTCCATTGTACGAATTCAAGAATCAATCATGAGTATCCAGAGGGAACCATGTGGATGTCGACCTAAAAGGGCTGTCAGCAATAAGGCTGCTAGTGCATGCACCAACAATCCCTTTCTCCCCTGTAGGAGAGGTAAGATTGTTAGTAATGACCCCAATCTCATTCTCATTGCCCTGTCAAAATAACCTCTACAATCCCGCCTGGAAACTATTACGGTTTATTCTTGATGAACTCAAAACTAATCTGATATCATCCATCAGTAACGCCCCCCCCCCCCTTTCGCATATACCGGTAGAGTTACAATTCCACCATGCATTTAAGTCTGCCTATGGTAAAACTTGAATTTAGACTTACAATGGCATTACCAGCGTTGGCGCTAACATACGATGGTGCAGCGTTCTCCCTCACGCTGGCTTTGGGGGCGGGGTCAATGCCCTCCGGCAGAGGTATGGTGGTCGCCAGCCTGGCGTACTCCACGTCCATGTTCCTGATAAAGGGCGACGCCAGCGCCCTCTTGGCGGAGTCGCGGTCCTCCTCGTCGTACGCTTGGAGGAGCTGCTCAATAGTTTGCATCTCTGGCACCTCACAGTTGTTGCCCCATTCCTGATAAAAGAATGGTGAATGAATTAATAAAAATTTAGTGTCACTCATTCATTTTTTTTTATACAACTTAGAATGGCAAACAAGCTGACGGCCCACCTGATGGAAAGTGGTAACCGTCGCTTATAGACATGAGCAGTACCATGGACATAACAGAGTATACCGTTTCGTCCATGATACCCCCCATGCGTTGCCATTCCTGAGGACTCAGGTGTTATTCCTCCGTACCCAGTAAATTCACGCCATATCCCACCCTTCAAACCGAAACACAGCCATGCAAACACAACTGCTTCACCGTAGAAACACGAATGGGACAGAGGTACTCAAGCAAACGACTTTTGTACAAAGTCTCCCTCTGGCAAATGATTACATTAAAACATTTGTGACAATTTCAGTTGCACATTATGTATTTGAGACACCTATTTATTTAGATACCATCTAAGCATTTGATGGAGAATTCGCACTTCAATCGCCTGTACGCGGCCAAGAAAAGGCTCAAGCTGTAGAGCTTACCGAGCTTTTTCCTAGAGACTACAGTATGGACTTTTGCAAAAAAAAAATGCATTAAGATTTCTTCAGGGTTGGCAACGCGCACGTGACACCTCTAGTATTGCAGGCGTCCATAGACTACAGTGATTGTTTACCATCAGATGGGTTTGACTACTTGTTTGCCACTTTCGTGTTATAAAAAAAAGTGTATAAAGTAACTCCCATAGAAATAGATGCAATAATAAAATGTAACAGAGCTAATATATCAAATAATTATATTAATAGTTATTATTGTTCTTCCATTACAGCTCTAATACTGTCTCAATACAAATTAAACGCTGAATGCAAGAAATAGAGTCCAGTTTACATTATTCAGATTGTAGTCACCTTGTAAGCTTTCTCCGCGGCGACCGCGTCACCCCTCGCCAACTGTACAAGCACTATCGCGACTGTCAACCGACCAACCGCTCCGGTATTGCCAGCTTCCTGGTGGAAGCCGATCTCACGGCGCAGACTGTCCACCGCCTGATCGTACCTGATGAATATTTTAAATATTTTATTTTAAAAATCCACAGTGCACATTTACACTAATATTATAAAGAGGAAATATTTGTATTTTATGTATGTGTGTAATGAATAAACTCAAAAATCAGTGGACCAATTTCAACAATTCTTTTTTTTAAGCAACATAGAATAATAGCAACAAGCTGACGGCCCACCTGATGGAAAGTGGTAACCGTCGCCTACAGACATGGACAGTACCATGAACATAACAGAGTATACTGTTTCGCCCATGATACCCCCATGCGTTGCCATTCCTGAGGACTCAGGTGTTTTCCTCTGTACCCTGTAAATTCACGCCATATCCCACTCTTCAAACCGAAACACAGCCATGCAAACACAACTGCTTCACGGTAAAAACACGAATGGGACAGAGGTACCCAAGCCATTGACTTTTGTACAAAGTCTCCCTCTGGTATCATTCTAGCTTAATAGTATTACTTCTGAGATAGACTGGGCAACATGGACACATTTGTACTCACATTTGAAGCTTGACGAGAATCCGGGAAGCCTTGCTGATGTATTCCGAGCCCTGGTGTTGACTGCTCTCTGTCTGTAAATTGTATTTTATAATTTAAAATTGCTTAACAAGTATGTTATAATAATTGTAATATAAAAAAATGTGCTCATGACCATAATAGAGTTATTTTTATTTAGTACTAGCCGACCCCGTAAACGTTGTTTTACCACTTATTGCGAAATATAAAAATTACAATTAAAATACAGGGGTTGATCGTAAAACGATGAAAATTTAAAGTTGTATGTATTTTTCAATGCTAAATTATAATTAATTAAAAATAAAAAAAAAATTGACAATAAAATATTTTAGGGTGGGTCACCCTTATCATTGACGGGTATGAAAAATATATGTTGGCCGATTCTCAAACCTACCTAATATGCACACAAAATTTTATGAAAATCGGTAAAGCCGTTTCGGAGGAGTTTGGTAACAAACACCGCGACACGAGAATTTTATATATAAGATTTGAAAGTATTTGTCTATTGTTGTGCCCATATTTTACCAAACATATTAGAATGTAACTTGATAAAGGACAAGCTTGCTGCTTTCACTCTGAATAATTCAGTGTTTTGCATCAACAGAACTTTCTTTTTAATGGAGGACAATGGATTGGTAACCCCGCCTGCGCTAACTGTATACGCTGGTGGAGCACCAGTGAGAGATAATAGATTAGAATAAAAATGCAAGCAGTTAGCGAGATGAATACATCTGGATTTTAGCACGATGGTTTCGAGGGGGGGCCACGTGGAGTTCGATCTGACAGGGTATATTGCTATAGGAATGGTAGGCAACCTGGCAGTCGCAATGCCAAACGACTAGGGGGAAAAGGGATTGTTAGTAATGGAGATTGAGAATTTCATTGCTAGCAATATACCCAGCCAGGTCGACCTCCTTGCGGTTCCTCCTGGAAACTATCATGGTTAATTCCTGATGAATTCATCATGATGGGCTAACAATCAATGATGGCCTGTTTTCATTCTCATCTATCACCCTACACTGGTGCCCCGCCAATGTAACCCGTTAGCGCAGGCGGGGTTACCATACCATTTTCACCTATCGAAAAAAAAATGCCAAACGACTATATTTGTGGGTAAACGTAACTCTGACGAATTGACACGACATACCTAACATTCAGACGTTCACTATGAGACTGGCATACCCTGGTGTACTGAAGCCTCAATAAAAAATTAAAGAAAAACAAAAAACTTACTGAAGACACGTCAGCGGCTTGCTGAAACAGCTTGACCGCAAGCTCTGGTGAGTTCTCTTCTAGGATCTTAGCAGCCTTGTCGAGGACGCCGGCGCCAGAGTCACCGGAGCCGTGCTGCTGGTACAAACTTGAGGACTCCACTGCTAACGAGTACAGCTGTGGATTTCGACAATGTATTTACTAGTACGCAAAAAAAAGAAAAATTATTGGTTATTTTATTACTATATTTAAAAAAATATATTCAACACAATGTTATATTTGTTATGAATTAATGAAAACTGAAAAGTATAACTTGAACAAATCGGGGAAAAGGATTTGTAATATTCACACCAGTATAAATTTACTTAGCATTTGGCGTTCCATTGTTTCTGCCTACCCTAATGGGAGACAGGCGTGACAGATGTGTATGTATGTAAATTTACTTATTATTAGTATTATTATTGAAAAACTGACTTTTTCTAAACATAAAACCCTGTGACGCTGCCACCTTTCCAAGATCTTTTGTACTCGCTTTTTTTAAAGTCCGCTGCTAATTCCTAGTAATGATAGAAATTTTAAGATGTTATTTGTAGCGACGTTTTTTTTATCTTCTCAGGATATAAAGCGTATTTTGCAAAGCAGATATATCGTTTATGTATGAGTGGGCTACAGCCACAAATTAAGTGCTGCGGCGTTTCTCCCTCACTGTGACAAAATCTGCAAACGCTTTTTAAGCATCCCTTTTAAAACATCGCCAAAGCCTAACTGCGGTTGCCAGCCAGCTCGCCAAGAGTGGCATTTATTTGCAAAACCTTCCTTATAGAGGAGGCTTATGTTCAGTATAAATTTTTTTTATACAACTTAGAATGTCAAACAAGCTGACGGCCGACCTGATGTAAAGTGGTAACCGTCGCCTATAGACGTGAGCAGTACCATGGACATAACAGAGTATACTGTTTCGCCCATGATACCACCCATGCGTTGCCATTCCTGAGGACTCAGGTGTTATTTCTCTGTACCCAGTAAATTCACGCCATATCCCACCCTTCAAATCGAAACACAGCCATGCAAACACAACTGCTTCACGGTTGAAACACGACTGGGACAGTGGTACCCAAGCAATCGACTTTTGTATAAAGTCTCCCTCTGGTGTCTGGGTCTGGGTAATTAACGACTAATATGATGATGAGAAATAGAGAAGCATTATTATTATTTTATCATTTATTTTCTTAAGAAAAAAAAAACATAATTCTTCTAACTAGTGGACTAAATTGATTTTAATATTTATACCCTGGAGAGGATATGAAAAATAAGATGAAACACTCACATCATCAGGGGTGGCGGTCTCCTTACTGACAATGATGGCATTCTCCAGAGCCTTGCCTGCATGGAAGAACGACCGATTTTTCTTGTAATACTCGGAAGCCTTCAAGTGACACTCCTTGGACTTGTTCAAGTCTCGAGCTATGCGGTAACACTGTGCTAAAAAAATAAAATTTGAAAATAATATACTGTTTTTTAGAATCCATAGTTCGAAAGGAAAAAACGAATCTCTTATAGGATTAATCGCTTGTCTGTTAGTATCTCTATCTGTCACAGCTAATTTGCACCAAACCAACCAAATCAATCGAGGCGAAATTTAGTACACATATGTAAGTTGGTGACACAAAAACAAACATATAACTGTCTGGTTTAATTTTTTTCCAATTGCACCAACTTATAAGTTTGTCAATTTAGTAAAATTATAATCATTTGATAAATTTTCCATTACATAAAATAATATTAAAAAAAAATTTATAAATTAATTAAGATCACATAATCCACTAAAAACTGACGTTACTTGTGGCAAAACCAGTTACTACTAAACTAAACTACTATATATATATTCTTTATTGCACTAAAACATACAGTAATAACAATAAGTTAATAACAATGTTAGCAAAGGCGAACTTATCTCTAAAAGAGATTTCTTCCAGTCAACCTAATACAGCGGCATAGGAAGTAGTGAGTGGGCAGTAGTAGTGCAAGACAGAAATTAAAATAAATATTGACATAAATTATAAATAATTATATATATACATATATATATATACACACATACATACATACTATACCAATTTTGATAAAATTTCTACTAGACCAATCTGTACGTATATCCTTGTAAATAAATAAGAATTTTCCAAATTGATTCACAGTAAAAAGAGTTACAATCAAATTGAAACCTCCCTCTTTATGAAGTCAGTTCAAAAAGGATTTAATAAATCGCCAGAACAACTAAAACCCATTGACATCCCACTACTGGACAAAGGTTGAGTCAGTCGACACTCACCTGCCTGGCTATACTCGTCAGCAGCAGAATCATAATCTGGCTTCCATCGCAGCAGAGATGTTTTCAAACTGCCAAACAATATTATTAATTCATAACTCGATTTACACACTTCACGTACTACTTCTTGGCATGGGGGAAGGGATTGTTAGTACTGGAGAGGTTTATTTTATGGGTGAAAATGGAATGGTAACCCCGCCTGCGCTAATGGGATACGCTGGCGGAGCACCAGTGAAGGGTGATTGATGAGAATAAAAACAGGCCAGTTAGCCCATCATGATGAATTCTACAGGAATTAACCATGATAGTTTCCAGGCGCAACCGCGAGGAGGTACCTGGTTGGGTATATTGCTAGCAATAGGATTCATAGTCTCCATTACTAACAATCCCTTTCCCCCCCATACTGGGGAGGTTAGTCATCAGTGCTATTAATATACCCTATTAAGTCGACCTCCTTGGGGTTCCCCTGGAAACTATTGTGACTAATATATCATTGAATTCATCAGGGTGGACTAACTGACCTGCTTTTTCATCCTCACCTATAGTCCCTCATTGGTACCCCACTAGTTAATACGGATAGCACAGACATGCGGGTCATCATTCTATTTTCACCCCTTAAAAGAATTTTTGACATAATTAATAAAATACTCTAGATTTTTTTTTTATTTATTTATTCTTTATTGCAGAATAAAAAACAAAAATGGGTCAATCTTAATGCCTATGGCATTCTCTACAAATCTATTATTAAGCTAAAAAATTTTAAGTACTAAGTGTGCCAAATACAAAAAAATTATAATAACTACCACAGCGTATTACTAAGGCTTATTTAAATTTTTGTGCTGTAATAAAATTGTAACTGCTCGCTGTCAGTAAATGAAAGATTTATAAGAAAAACTATTATATGAGGTCTTTATAGAACCTAAAACAATGATTTAGGGGGAAAAAGGATTATTAGCAATGGAGTTTGACATTGCTAGCAATATATATATATATATAGCCCTAACAGGTCGGCCTCCACATGGTTCCCCCTGGAAACCATTGTGATCAATTCTTGTTGAATTCGTCACGACGGGCTAACTTACCTGCTTCATCCTCATCTATCATGACTCACTGGTACCCCACCGGTGTATACCGATAGTGTGGGTAGGGTTACCATTCTATTATCATCCATTCAAAAAAAAATTTTTTTAAACATTTTTATCTGTTTGTGCACGCTGATCTCAGAAACGGCTTACTCAATTTGAATATGGTTTTTATTAATGCATCGACGTTTGCTCCACTATACATTTAGTGTTTGTTTTATTTCAATCGGTTCGGTAAAAAAATCACATATAAAATGCTATAAAATAATTGATCAGTTGAATTGGCTAAACTTTTATTATTATAAATATTGATTTTCGAATATTCTGTCTACTCGTGCGAAGCCGGGTCGGATCGCTAGTGATTCATATGAAGCTACTAATTAGAAAGTTTAACCTATGTTTGATAAATAAATTATAAAATAGATCATTATTTACAAAAACCAAACTAAAATTTATTATGCTCACATTTTTATGTTCATAAAATATGGAATTAGGTAAATTTTAAACAAGGTCAAAGTTAATTATGATAATTAAATGAGTAAAACAATTCTTTTTTAAGATATTATCCTCTTTTTGCTACGATCGATATTGTTATAAAGAAATTTATAGACAATAATTTGAAAACAACCTTTATCAGTTTAATAGCAATGTCGGAAAAGTATATTTCTTGAAATATACAAATATTGTAATAATGTGGCTAAAAGTAACACAATTTAATAAATTATGTTGTGAAACTTTAGACATACTTACAATTTCTCGGCAGCTTTACAGTGCTCTTGGGCTTCATGAAGTTTCGCCGACATTGTAAATTGTAACTACAACTATTAACGTGATATTTAGGATATGAACTGTGATTTAAAACTTAGCTATTGATAATTAGTTTTGAAAAATCAATATTAGTACACCTAGGCAAAACAAGGAACCATCCCCATTTACAATCCAAATGACATTGATTTGATTTTGACAAAGGACTGCGAGTTGTCAAATATTGACAAGCAGTGTTACTATGTTACAGTATTTCTAAATCTACTGTAATTTAAAAACTGATATAAAACATCATAGATTAAGAATAGTACCTGGTTTTCTTTTTCTATGTAAAATACTATTTGTGAAACAAGTAATATTTTAATGATAATGATGACTTCCGATTGAAAGTATTGAATAAAAATTAGCATTCATCTATTCTGACTATATCAATCTTAGTGTTATCTTTTTATTGGTCTACGCCTTTAGTACCTGCAAGTTGTTTTATTTTGTGAATAGATGGCGTTGTGTGATCGTATGTAGGTGATCGAAAATTGGATAAAATAGCCCGAAATTTCTAAGTACAATCATAATCTAAAAAATATATATATATTTGTTTACTCCTTAATTATAAAATTTATATTCAAAAATGTTTTTTAAAAGTTGTCTACTTGATCTATTTGAATAAAAAATTAAGAGAACGGTAAACATTTAGTTTAAATTATAAAGCTGTAGTTTAAGTATACATAAGTACGCGAATAGACAACACGTAATTGTTTGTTATTATTGTAGTGTGCTTTGTAATATTATATATTAATATTACAAAGCATACTTTTATAAAATAATACTTTTTTTATTAGGAGTCTCTTAAACATGACGCTGGCAGATATATATGCTTGTAATAATGGCGACCGATTGCCATTAGAGAAAGAAAATGACTCATTTGAAATTCGAATCGACGCAAAGATAAACATATGATGTAATTTTTTTATAAAAAGTATAAAGATCACATGTAATTTAATTTATTACGATAACGATACACGTTGTAACATTTCGAAAGGGTTTTAATTCCAATTCATTGATTTGTAAACAATATTCTAATAATTATTCGTTTAATTTATTTCTTTTAAATGTTTCTTTTAAACACCCGTGATTTTACATAATTACTTTTGTTTTATTAACTTAATTAAATATTGAGTACCACTTTTATAAATTAATAGCGTATTCATAGTAGCAAGATTTCTCACTTCACGCACAGATTCTGTACACTTGTATGTGTTGTTAGGTAGCAAATAGGTAAATAGCAAACAATTGTTTTTGTTACCTAAATTTCAGCATTCCCAGGATATTTATTCGCCTAAATGATGCAATGCAAGCATCTAAAATAGTTTCACTTCAGCATCTATTGCTTGAACTCGCTCGCTGGCATTGTTACAACCAAAACTTTAAATACAACATTAATTTTAGAATATTACAAAATATTGATTACAAACACGATGTTTTCATTTACATGGGAGTTGCTGTTGTTAGAAGATTTTTAAAAGTATATATATACTTTAAAAAAAATACTAAATATATCTCACTGGAGTAGATTCTGAGACGTCATTTAATTAAATTATCTCTAATTTTATAATTTCATTTTTATATCAAAGTTTAGAAATCCTCGGAACGGTGAGGTGGCTCTGTGAGGCCTATGAAGGTCTCAGGAAGCTTCTGTGCTTCTGGACGGAGCTAGACTGACTGTACTAGCCACGACTCATACGCACAACGGCCCAAATGAGAGGCTAAGCGCGGAAAATAGAGTCCAATTTACAATTTACAATAATATCAAATTTATTATTTATAAATAAAATAAACAAAAGAATATTTTTCATTAGGTGTAAATGAAATTTTTAGATTATACCTAATTGAATTTTGAATTACAGTTGAGTCACAAAGTAGCTACAAATGAATAAATTAATAGTTTCATTATTAAAAAAAAAATATTTACTAAATAACAATGTGATATCGATTTTTTTAATTTAAATTTAGAACTATTTCTGTCATATATATTATATATACATATATATATATATATATATATATATATATATATATATATATATATATATATATATAGGCGGCCATTTTCAGTGATTTAAAAAGTAAAAGATATTTTATGTCTATACACAGATATAAGATACGAATTATTATGCACTGTTTACTTGTTCTATAAGATATATTAGCAAGAATTTTGTATACTTTTTTTATTTTATATTTTTTTTTATTTTTTCTCCCACATATTTAGTATTGTACTCACATACTGGTAACCCGACTCACACACACACATGCATAAAAAGTTGACCTGTTTTTAGGGAAGCATTTGTATAGAGACACTGTATGTATATAATCTAAGATATGTATATTCATATACAAGGTTGAATTAAAACCGATTTAAATCCGACCGATAAAAATGTACATATTAAAACACGTTCGTTCCCAGAAAGGATTTACAACGATTGACATTGGATTTAGAGGAATCTGATACTATATGTTTTAAAATATATAATTCCTGGAGGAGTATAAAATATCCCTCTATATAGGTAACCAATCTCTTGATAAGTTATAAAATTGTTAAACCTTTTTTAAAGGAAATTGTCTTATTTTTTTTTTTTAATAGATATGTTATATGCGTCACCAGTTAATTTTAATTTATCGGAAATGGTTTGGTGTAGACGAGGAAAAATATATAATTTATTTACGATCGAATCTACCGTTTTTATTTGGCAACACAAAAACTGTTTGCGAAGCGAAACTGACTTCTACCATTTTTCCTATACCGAGTTCTAAATTCAAATATTTTCAGAGTTTTCATGATTTCAGGGGTCACGCGACTCGGCAAAATTTATTTGACCGCTTCGGGAAAATATCATATTTGCGCCCCGTACGTAACAGGGACACTGTTGATACTCAAGTGAGGATGGGGCCTTCTCACTGGTTTCAAGGCTACCACAAAGTGAAACCAAATATAGAATAAGTGTTTTTTTTTATACAACTTAGAATGGCAAACAAACTGACGGCCCACCTGATGGAAAGTGGTAACCGTCACCTATAGACATGAGCAGTACCATGGACATAACAGTACACACACATACTGTTTCGCCCATGATACTCCCCATGCGTTGCCATTCCTGAGGACTCAAGTGTTATTCCTCTGTACCCTGTAAATTCACGCCATATCCCACCCTTCAAACCGAAACACAGCCATGCAAACACAATTGCTTCACGGTAGAAACACGAATGCGAAAGAGGTACCCAAAAAGTCTCTCTCTGGTAAAAGGCAGTGTAAAAGTAGAAGGAAGAAAAATTGCGTTCCTTATTTGAAAAGGGCCTCGTAACAGACGCCTTCAAGTGGGGTGCGTAGAAATATAAATCAATCATGGCTATTCAATGGTGCCGGTACGCGAGGACGAGCCCCGCAGGTGTTGCAACGGTAAATAACTATATAATAATAATAGCAATATTGTCGTGAGATTGTGCGCACCCCTATCGCCCTCCGCCGTCGCGCGGTATGCGCCCGCGCCGCTCCCGCGCGGGGGTTGACTCTTTATAGGGAAACTGACACGCGAACTAACGGTTTTGATATTTTTTTCTTTTATGCTTAAATACGAAATTAATAGTAGTAGTAAAAATGGTATTTTTTTTTTATGAAATTTAAATTAGCAAACCGGAAAATGATATCCGTTGCCTATAGAATGAACACCCCCATTGACATGACAGAATATTCTGCAGTACCCATGGTATAAGTCATACGTTACCATTCCTAAGGACTATGGTGTTACACCTCCGTACAAACATATTGCATGAAATAAACCTTAATAGGTAGGTAGAATATATTGAAACTTCTTTGTGGCCATAATGTAAATTAAAGTCTGGCCACATATATATGTTGATATTATTTTTCTATACAGTTTTTAGTTTCTATTCAAATGGTTGTTTCGTCTTGTATCTACATGTATTATATATATTGTTGTTCTAAAGAATATTATTTTTCACTGTGACCCTCTACAGAATATATATACATGTATATTCTTTTACCTAGTAAAATATATAATTCATAACTTATTAATTATATAGTAGGTATAACTCTATTATTACTATCATATTACTCTATATTATTTGTTTGTTTATATGTCAAGATTCAATTACGCCCGTGGCCATAGACAATAAATAGACACTTGTGAAATGAAATATGACAAAACAACTAGTCACCGAATTCCTTTCCATTTTAAAAACACAGTATTCCAAATAAAAAAAAAAACAATTTGAAATATTATTCTATATTCGAAATATATACCTATTACACTCTCTTACATGTCTTCCTATTTGGTTGTTAAAATAAAAACTGAAACTAAATAATTTAAAATAGTGTTCCACAAACAAGAAACCTGCTTCAAACCTGTCGCAATAACAAATTTTTCCTTTTAAGAAGTCCAGTTATTTCGATTTATAAAGTAAACTAGTGACCGATTTTGATAAAATTTCTATTGTACGATTCAGTAAGTATATCTATTTAAAAAATTAAAAGAATAAATTTCAAAATCAGTTTGTAATTGACGAAGCTTATTATTGAATGATGAATGAGTGAAATCATTCATCATTCAGCCATTTTTTGCCTTTTTTTTTTCAATGTCCTCTACCCAAAGGTTGTCTGGAAAAGATTGCTTAGAGATAAAGATGTGTATATATATAATTATTTATAATTTATGTAAATATTTATTTAAATTTCTATTGTGCACTACTACTGCCCACTCACTACTTCCTATGCCACTGCGTTAGGTTGACTGGAAGAAATCTCTTATAGAGATAAGTTCGCCTTTGCTAACATTGTTATTAACTTATTGTTGTTACTGTATGTTTTAGTGCAATAAAGAATATATATATAAAGCCACCTTTTGTATCACTTCTCATTAATATTTACTGCATGTATATTGTTATTATTATTTTTACTTGGTACAATAAAGAGTAAATAAATAAAAATGGAACTATGTCGGTGTAGTGGTTTAAAACATCACCTCAGATTAAGTTGGTCGCAAACTCGCGGGTTCGATCCCCATTTATCGGATAATATGAGCATTTATATCCATGCGATATCTATTTGTATAGATCCGAATATCTTTTATGTATACGTTTTTTTATTATGCAACTTAGAATGGCTAACAAGCTGACG